CCAAGCAACGATTGCCCTGCGAGGCTTATACACCCTTTGAATCTGTGTGCACATGTTTATGCATCGAAAATTGACGAGTCCCAGAGACTGGTGGTGAAGTGGTTCTGGTAGGTATAGATACATTAACATGACTGCAAGGATTACATGTGCTAGTGTCAAGGTCAATCACTTTTAAACTGTACTTGCGGGTTTCTATATCGCATGAGGTCATAAGACAGACGCTTGAAGGTTGCTCTAGTACTAAATTACAACTGACACATAATCTCCGTCACTCAAATTCAGCCTTCATCTCTGCTTCCCTCCTTTTCTCCCTTTGTGCATCATCACATACATAATCAATTTCTGCATTCACCCAATCGTCCCACGTACCGAACTTGTCCAATCGTTCCTTCACACTCAGACCATCATCTCGTGTCCTAGTTTCCATATCAGCCCCCGCTTGTCTCAGCACCGCAAAAGCCTTGACCCAGCACCTTGATACAGCGTAATGCAATGGTGTCCACCCGTCTTCATCACCGTGGTTGACATCCGCACCATGAGCGATGAGCGTTTGTGCAATTTCAGGATTTGAACATAGACACAGCGGCGTTCGTCCCTTCTTATCTTCGCAGTGTGGTGATACACCCCTGGATGATAAGAGGAGTTTTGCTGCAGAGACATTATGAAACTCGGCTGCGAGATGAAGTGGTGTACGGCCATTGACGTCGCGGACTGTGATATCGGTATATATATAGTTGAGCAGGTCGAGAGCTGGGTGGCCGTATCTGGCGTCCATGCGCGACATGTGCAGAGGTCGTTTAAGCGCGATGTGTAGAGCACTGTCGCCTGTTATGGGGTTGACAATGTTAACATCCACGCCAGGTTGATATGAGAAAAGGGATAACAAGAGGGATACACTGGTTGGAGAAGGTGCCATGCAAGCGAGTGCAAGAGGTGTATAACCTTTGTTGTCTTGTCTGTCGATGCCACCCATGGAGCGGCGTGGTAAAATCTTCTCGAGTACACGCAGCATACTCTTGCCTGCTGCGTAATGTAGCGCACATCTTCCATTGTCGTGCGTAAAAGATGAGGGGTACGCTCCTCGTTCGAGCAGATACAATGCTGCATCTTCATTGCCCGCCAATATCGCGACGATGAAAGGCGTATAACCGGAGGGATCGCAGGAGTTGATGTCCATCAGTGGTTCTTTATCATCAACATTCAGACCAAGGAGGAACTCGATCACTTCAATTTTACCATGAGCAGCGGCGATTTGCAGAGCTCCATAGCCGCGGTTGTTCGTGTCCGATACATCTGCACAGCGCGTAGCCAAGAAGTTGACCAGCTCAACATTACTCTTGCATGCAATAAGAAAAGGTGTATGGCCATCGTTGTCCTTGGCGTTAATATTGGCCCCTACTCGTCGAAGTTGATCTATCAAGCCCTTCTGCTTGTAATAGACAGCAACGTGCATTAGGGTAGACCCATCCTCGGATCGATCTTCGTTTACGTTCGTGAAATCAAGCATTTGGCGGGCTATGTCTGCGGCCTCTAGGACGATTTCGTCGTCGCAACTGTCAAATTTGCGTACTACACGGGCGAAAGCGCTGGATTGAGCATTCTGTCCGTCCATAATTCTGCATCGACCACTCGCTAGCAGCATCTTCACGACAGACGTGCCCTTCTTCTGGCCATACTCCCAATCAATTATTGCTTGATGCAGTGGCGTAATTTCGCAGCCTGTGGCATCTTTCGAGAGCTTAGCTGGATCGGCGCCTGCTTCGAGGAGTGTTTCAATGAGTTTCAAGTTGTGCTTGGATATTGCGATAGTGAGTGGCGTGTATCCAGTGGAGAAGACCATACTTGGATCCGCTCCTAATTTGAGTAGCTGTGCAATGATTTCAGTATCCTCGTAAGCCAGTGCGGCGCGTAGCATATTGATCATAGCCTGTGATCTGACAAGCTTGCCACCTTGATCCAAGACCCATGGAATCCAGCCTTGCCACTCGGATCCGGTAGACCTGGAGTCAACATACCGATACATGATAGAGACGGTGTTCATTATTGATTTTACCGTTGTCTCGGATTGTGCAGTTGCTATCTGGAGTGCAACACTATCCTTTGGGTATCCGGGTCCGCCAACAGCTTCTAAGAGGACCTTGGCAGTGGTCAGGTGGCCTTTCTCCATAGCAAGTTCGAGAATAGTGTCGCCATCACTGGTCAAGACATTGGGATCTGCTCCATGTGACAGCAGGGCCTGTAGTACTTCGGTATGACCCTCATCTGCCGCGAAAACCGCCGGAGTCCAGTCTTCCGGCGAAATACTCCGTGCGTTGATGTTTGCGCCTTTCTTGATCAGTAGTTCTACAATTGCCAGGTGACCTGACATGCTGGCGACGGATAGACAGGCTGCTAGAGTCAGTTTCTGTGTGTTGTTTCTTGTTGAGTATTGTGACTTACTCAACCCGTCTTCACTACAATCATCGACTCTAGATCCCTGGTTCAGCAAATAATCAACGACCTCAAGCTGCCCTTGACTCGCTGCCCACATCAAAGCAGAACCACCGTTCGCATATCTTTCATGCAGCTCTGCTCCCTTTGCAAGCAGCAGCTTGACGACTTTAAGATGTCCTCCCTCTGCCGCAAGGATGAGAGGCGTCTTCCCGCTCGAGCAGGGTTTGCTGATGTCGACGCCTTTACTGATTAAAAAATCAGCCGCGTGTATCATTCCTTTCCCAGCAGCCCAATGCAAAGCATTTATATCGTCATTACCGGTCGCATCAGTCGGTCCAGAAGTAGCTTCCAGGTCAGCGCCATGATCTAAGAGAAGTTGGGTGATTTGAGGTGCGTGTTCTTTCTGCTTGACCGCATGGAATATCAGAGGTAAACCGATGATATGAAAGTTCGCATCGGCGCCCCTTTCTAGCAAAAGTGCTATGTTGTCGATGTGACGCTTACGGATCGAGTCAGCGAGTGCCCAGTCTTTCTCATATGCAATGAGATCGACGTTCACACTATCATCTAACTCCTCTTTTGCGCTATCAAGGTCTCTGCATTTCCTCGCATGATGTGGATTATCGTAGTTCAATCGCAGATCTCGATCGTCCCTGGCCAAGTTCATCCCTTCTTCTTGCTTTGTTGCTTCTACGACCGTTGAAACCAGAGTCGGGGTTTCGTGTGACGATTCAGGTATGAAGTCATCGAGGTCACTGCTTACAGTGAAGCCGTCATCGTCAGAGTAGTCGTCGTCCGCCCGAAACACGCTTGCAGCTTGGCGTGGACCCGGTGTAGTCTTCGCGCTCATGTCAGGGAGATAGCGAGCGTATGCTGGGGCATCAACGTTGTGCGACAAGAGAAATGCAGTATTTCGGAGGAATCGTCAAAGCCCTCTTGTCCGCTGTGGTTCAAAACGCGAAAGGCTCACGCTGCGAGTATGTGCTGGCAAGCACCATGTCTATGCTGGCTAAATCAGCTGCTAGGCAGCACTGCTGTCGGCAGGCTGCAGTCAAAGGCGCGACCATCATCAGATTGGTCGAGCGTTTTCGCAGGTGTAAGCTCAGTCTGCTGCAATTGGCGGGGCAGTGTGGCGCATACATTCGCGTCATGCAGCGAGGTCTCAGGTCGGTCGATTCATGGGGGTTAAACCACAAACCAAACCTATAGCACCCAATGAGGGTAGTAGACACTGACCTTTCAGTGAACAGCATGAGGAGACATGATAGTAGAGAGAGAAAACGGATTCAGGCCCCAAGGACCAACGAAAACCATGTAAGGGCGTTAGGAAGACCGTACTGCCACAAGGACAAGTAAGAGCTGCCTAGGCCGTTGTAAGAGAGTCTTCTAGACGTGCTACAACAAAGAGCACAGTACTAGAGGCGCTACAGCTAAGAGCGACGATGATTCTCAAGTGCAAAAGCAAGCTAAAGCACTCTGACGGGCCTCAACCGCTACGAGGAAGATGGAGAAGGGAAGATGGTCTGAAAGCTCAGGTTGTATTGTAGTGTGGGACGTGCGCGCGTCGCGTCACAGCTCCAAGCGGAAAGAGCAAACGCAAGGAAGGAGCCGTTCTCACAAACCATCAGCGAGGAGTTGTCGTCAATACTTCCAAAAGACCAGAATGATGCTACCTGTTCCAGAGATAGCACTGACATGAGAAATTTGTTGTGGGTGAGTAATCGATCAGCGGAACGATGAGCGTGTTCGTATACACTCAAAAGTACGATACTACATTGAGCGCATGTAATCTTTGGCTAGTCGACAGGTATCAGTTCACCACCTGCGATCTGCAAGTCATCTCTATATGTACACGTAGCAGAGTAGACTGTACCGAAGCTCCCCTTGGACGATGTAGCGCGGGGCAGCGCAGGCTGTCGAGAATCACGATCAGTATCCGTGGTAGTGGACATGGGGAGACACAACACGCTCTACGGCGTCGTTCGTATACTCCAGAAAAAGGTCCAGGAGAGTTGGCGGTATCCTCATATTCCACGGAGACATCTGGCAAGATACATAGTGCAGGTTGTTTTCCTCAATCCCATCTTTAGTCGGTGGAGAAATTATGCCGAGCCGCACTAAACCCGTTCCACACTTGTCGACTGCTGCACGAGAGGCATCATCGAACATTGGATCGCGACATCGACTGCCAAACCACAGCCAATTCAACGAGCGCAATGAAGCCCGGCAGCATGCCAGTGCGCGCTCAGTCGCGGTCGGTGTGCCAACTGTGCAACTATATACTACAACAGCCTGGGAGTCGCCGGACTTTCCTATCCACATCATTCCGAGCGCCTTCGATACGACGACAAACCGCGTCAACCCCGAATGCATATCGCAATACGTCTGCAGCCCGTCCACGAAACATTACGACGACAAGCCGGAAGGCAGCAGTGGTCGACACTAGCGACGATGGCGTGCGACAATATTCGGAGAGAATAGTGTCGTTGAAGAGCAAACTCGCCCAAGTAGAGGCTCGGATACAAGAGATATACAATTCACCCAAAGTCGAGCAGGAGGCGGTCATAATGGAAGCATTTGAGGGATTGAACTACATTGCACAAGAAGCAATAGCGATACGTTTAAGACAGCCTCAAGCGACGCAGGCGCATATAAGGCAAAGTAGTGCTGGGGCTATACTCTCTGGATTGGGTGGTGAAGAGGAGGCAAAGACGGAAGCGAAAAAAAGTTCGAAGCTTTTTGGACTGGATGCGTTACCCTCGCCATCGTATCTCTCGAAGCTCGCGGAGGGCCTTCTCAAGCATGAGAAGGTCTTCCTATCACCAAACATCCTCGCGATATACATCCACATACAGCGACTCCTTGCCCGACCCAAGACCATTCCAGAAGCGCTCTACCTCTACGCGAACAAACCAGTCCCCGTCGAAGGTTCTTCGCCTCCCAAGTTCTCACGACCTTCTCCCAAGTCAGCAAAGCAGGCTATTCCAGCCGATCTCGCCGACGCAGCGCTCACCGCGGCAATCGACGCGAAAGATCTTTCTTTAGCCCTGGATGTTGTTGACCACAGTTATCGCGCTCCTGCGTGGCGGCGGCACCGCATAGTCACAAAGCTGGGGTTGCCCGGTATCTTGACGGCTATCACCCCACTTGCTCTCTACATGATCGCCCAGGAACTATCCGTATACAGCGGCTTTATCGACCCTTGGACTTTTAAGCTATACGCTTTCATGGGCATGAGCACGTATGTTATGTGTACGGGAACGCTCGGATTCGTGGCCCTGACGACATACAACGATCACCACGACCGAGTTGTCTGGCGACCTGGTGTTCCACTGCTTGATCGATATCTGAGAGAGGATGAGCGAGCGGCCTTGGACCGCATAGCCTGTGCGTGGGGTTTCAAGGAAGTGTGGAGGCGAGGTGATGAAGAGGGCGAGGACTGGGAGGGTTTGAGGCAGTGGATCTTGCTCCGGGGTATGGTTCTTGACAAGCCAGATCTGATGCCTGGTATGAACCCTGGAAGATAGTTTAGCGGTAGTAGCAGTAGCACCAAAGCACTGGACACTCAGACAAACTATATGTTAAACATTCTCTACCATGCAGGCAAGCCGCTTGTGGATCCCGCCCCACATGTCATATCATACCAAAAAGGAGCAAATGCATAGGAGATATCGCAAAAACAAGAGACTCTGAATAGTTCCGCATACATGACTCGGGTAGCCGAGGACGGCAAAAAGGTTGTCATGGGTTCTGGAATGTATGACCTCAAGTTGTCCACGTTGGCAAAAAGATTGGTTCGTGCGACACCTGTGTGATTCGAACACACGCTCCCGAAGGAACTGGCTAACTTTCCGGTGAAGGACTAGCAGGCCAGCGCGTTAACCACTCCGCCAAAGTGCCAGAGGTTACTGTTTTAACAATCCTCTAAATTGTTGCAACATATCCGCAATAGGATTTCTGGAGCACGACCAAGCAGCAGCGATCAAGATGAGATCCTTCGACTCCCCGTGCGCGATCGTGTCAGTGGAGGCACTCTAGGCACCAGTCTGTCGTTATATGCGTGATGATGGCGGGGTAAGCTGTCAAGCTACCCCACCAACCTCAAGCTCTCCGACGCGTCTTGCTTACTGATTTCCGCCACAACTCCACCCAACATCGAGCCTCGCGTACTCTCAACTTCACGACTCACTGCGCATCTCTGGCTCTATTGCCGAACACAAAAGTATTCTCACTCGACGCGACACACGTAGAACACGGTACAAGCATGTCCGCCGACGCCGCTCCGATCACCTTCACGCGCTTTTCCAAGGCGCTTGAAGACCTCTCTGTCGAATCGCTCTACGCCAAATACTCCGAGCTTACCAACCAACTCACCCATCTTGAGTCCAGCAACAAGCAGCTCGAGGAGTTTGCGCGCGAGAATGATGACCGCGACTGCTACGAGGCACTTATGGAGAACAAGCAGGTTATAAAGAGGTTCGAGGAGAGGAGGGAGGCAATCAAGAACGAGGTCAAGGACGTGAGGGGTCTACCGTGGAGACCGAGGGAAGAGGAGAAGGTTGATGGTGCTGCGGTGAACGGTCATGCGACTACGGCGACAAATGGTACGGCAGCGGAAGAGCAAAGGAATGGTGATGCGTCGGCGCCAGAGGCAGACGATGGCGTATATCTTTGATCAGGTCAGAAATTCAATGCGATGTACAAGATGCGGGATGGCTACCGGAGAGTGTCAAGGTGATGCACAAGCAAGTGCTTCGGTAGCCGCCGAAATCTCAATGGGACATAAATCAAATGATCAACCAAAGTACGTATTTCCATGCTTACCTGTTTTTCCCCACTCACAAATCTGTAGTATAAACACGATCAACTTCAACGATTTCGGGATCCCGTGGAAGCATAGCGCTTGGTTGGCACTTCGATTAAGATATAGCTCCACACGGACGACGTCTATGGCAGTGCAGTATCCCCTAAAGCACCTGCGGATCGAAAACACCAGGCTTTGAAGTACGTAGAAATTTCAAAGCGTCCTGGAGAAGCTTTGAGTACTGGACAGGTGCATTCTGTCGTTCTCAGTGGAGATGCATAGTTTAGGCCATAATGGTACATTTCGAGTGTTACGTTCTAAAGACATGGTAGAGTCACTATAGACAAGAGAAGCTGGCGAAGAGAGAGGGGTGCCATATGGCTAAATTGATTATCTTGTGATGCCTGCAATACAGTCATCCGTTATACATGCGTAGAATGCTACAGCCATGTCGATCAAGGTTTGTGATCTGTGTCGTTCGTCCAAGAATCTAGCAGAGCCACAACTCGTAGCGCAAGAGTGCGAGATCAAGATAAGCTATACTACTAATTGTGTGAAGAATATGTAATACCAAATGGGCAGTGGCTGAGTAAGCTCTCGGCTCGCCAACAACACAACGTCATCATCTCCAACACATGTGCTTTTCACCTAAACCACAATATTCTTGTTTAGCGGTGCAGCAACACTTGAACCTTGAGGTTTGCACTCTACGATCTGCATAGTGGAGGTTTCGGTCATTGGCAGGTCAGCTCAGCCTTACAGCAGCCAGATCCCCCTCAGACATTGGTACCCTGACTAACATGCTGGCGCTTTTGAACATTATCCGACACGCCACTCTCTCTGAACCCCGCATGTAGGATTTATCGCTGACCTTAGGAAGAACTCAATAGCCGACGCTTGCACAAGTTGATTATCAGAAGAAGTTACACGGCGCACGAGAAAGCTTAAACGGATGTAAGACTCGTCTCTGATTAGATGGACGACACATACACCGCAAACAACGTTTTTTACTACCCCATGGGGCTCGTACGTGCCTGATCCGTGCCACTATCCGTCTTGGGAACGTTTTCGGCAGTCTTGGGGGATGTTTAGTGTCTTGGGCGCCCAGTATGCTATCGAGCTTTACGAGGCTTGGTATGGGGTACAGTGGGTTCGGAAGGAATCCTGGCTCATATGATCGACTCTGTTCCTTTTTCGTACAAGCGAGCGCTACCTGTTTACGTGGAGATATCTTCACATGTAAGCAATTCCTCTAAACCATCGGAAGGCTTACTCTGTGTGCCTGTACTGAGTTGGAGATTCAATCTGTCCAATCTATACCAGATTCGATTCCTCACTTGGATATTGCGCCACGCTTGCAACCTTCACTACTAGACCATTTCGAGTAGGTCACCTGGAGCAGCTGGTCAACTTTGGCTGCTCGGCAACGGTCTTAGTTGACTTGGCTGCGAACAGTGCTCGGTGGCGCCCCTACCGCCACTCTTCATATCAACGGGCAGAGAATTTCCACGAGTCGACTGAGCAACCGACCCTACCGCCTTGTCTCCATACGAATCTTGGATGAATTGCGGTAGGAATTCGTGGTAGGTCTACTCGGCGACCATGTCCTGTCCATCTAGAACATACAGTCGGACATTGGGCTTCATGGTCTATGCGCGATCAAGACCAACTGCTTCCGATCGCTCACCGACTCGAAGGCGGTGCAGAACCGGTTGATGTCTTCCACTGTGCGACGCAGACGAGAAACGAAACAGAGATCCACTACCGTTGACGTAGTAGCAATCTCGCGACGATGAGTATCAATGCGACGCAGCATAAGCAATGCCAACTTCAACCTCGCTAAGATCCCGTCTGGCTACCCGCGATCGTTCCAAACACTGGCATTCCCACCGCTAACACATTTGCGCCACTGTCGCTCCTGTCGACTCTGCTTCTAGAATCCGGCCACCGGGTGTTTCAAAGCGTTTTGACATACGAACATGGCGGGCACTAAACCTTAAAGGGCCGAAATGGTGGGTTCTGGTAAACACCCGGTGGGAGTTTCTGTATCACAAAGCTCACTACCACTCGCATTTCAGGGAATACCGCCGAGATTTTGTTTCCAGCAATCAACGCGTCAGTCCACCCTGCCGTCACAACGAATTGTTGAAACAAAAAGTCTACCAGATGCAATCGCTCTGCCTACAGCAAAGGATGAATTGACGTTGAAATAAAGCTACCAAGCCTCAGCGATCAAACCATTAGTTGCCGCACAAGCCTGCATAGGATTTAAGCATATACCCACCACGACTTGGCGCGTCTTCCCCAACCGGGCTTCATGTGCGGCAAAGTACCCCTTTGCCGGGCACTCCCCGCATTACGGAGAATTGCTGTCCGTGCAGGTACGCAAAATCCCTTGAAACATCATGTCATTAATATACCCACAACAACGGAACAATATACCAGGCCCCAAACGGCCGCATAGCATGGACGATCAATTTCCAGTGCTAGGATGAGCTATGGTACCGAGGCCAATGTGAACGGTCGAGACAATGAGGTGGTTCATGGAGTGGAGACGGTGTGATAGTGCCTTGCAAGTATGGTTGGTACTTCCGATGCTGGTATGAACATATAAGTATCCTGTCGATAGCCCTCTTTAAGGCCTCACTCCACACAGCCAAGCTTCTCTTCCAAACAACACAAGCTTCCTATCCCTCACATCAGCAACCATGCGTTTCACTCCTACCGACCTCAGCCTTCCCGCTGCTGCGATCGCCTTCTTGGCATCGACTGCTTCAGCCCAGAGCTGCCAGCTTCCCACCAGCTACAAGTGGACTTCTTCCAACGCGCTTGCTCAGCCCAAGGCAGGATGGGCCAACCTCAAGGACTTCACCACCCAGATGGTTAACGGCAAGCACCTCGTCTACGCCACCAACCACGACACTGGCAGCAACTACGGCTCCATGAACTTCGGTCTCGTCTCCAACTTCAACGAGCTGGCATCTGCTCCCCAGAACGCCATGAGCCAGGGTCTCGTCGCCCCTACCCTCTTCTTCTTCAAGCCCAAGAACACCTGGGTTATCGCCTACCAGTGGGGAGCTACCGCTTTCTCCTACAAGACTTCCTCCGACCCTACCAACGCCAACGGTTGGAGCGCGGCTAAGCCTCTCTTCTCCGGCAAGATTACTGGCTCAAGCACTGGCCCAATTGACCAGACCGTTATCGGTGACGACAAGAACATGTACCTGTTCTTCGCGGGTGACAACGGCAAGATCTACCGTGCTAGCATGCCCATTGGCAACTTCCCAGGCGACTTCGGCACCGCCTCCACCGTCGTCATGAGCGACAGCACCAACAACCTCTTCGAGGCTGTCCAGGTCTACACCGTCAAGGGAGGAACCACCGCCAAGTACCTCATGATTGTTGAGGCTGTTGGTTCTCAGGGACGTTACTTCCGCTCTTTCACTGCCTCCAGCCTCGGCGGCAACTGGACCCCCAACGCTGCTACCGAGAGCAACCCCTTCGCCGGCAAGGCCAACAGCGGTGCTACCTGGACCAACGACATCTCTCACGGTGACTTGGTCAAGGTTACCAACGACCAGACCATGACTGTCGACCCTTGCAACCTGCAGTTGTTGTACCAGGGCCGCAACCCCAACTCCGGTGGTGACTACGACCGTCTCCCCTACAGGCCCGGTCTCCTCACCCTCAAGAAGTAGAGTGGGACTACTTGACTTGCTAAAAGTCTTTCGTTGTACATACATTTGAGCTGGACGATGTATATAGATGGCCAGTTTGATTTCTCTTCTTTTCCTCTGACCCAGAGGGTCTCTTTTAGCAACAAATGAATTTACAGGGCATCTTTAGATCCCTATTTCTATCTATGATTGCTACTTCGTGAAACATGCTTGAATCGCTCTTCTCGCTATGCAAAGTCCCGTGCAAAACTCCTGCTTACGTTTCTGGTCCTGGAATATCTCTTCTTTGCAGATATCCAAGCCTGTTCTCTCCCTGATGACGATTTCCTGCAGCACGCACCGACTCTCCTCACACAACAACGTCATGTCTCCCTGACCTCTGGCAATTGCTTCATGCACCTCCATGAATGCCCAGGTCATACCCACGAGTAGATCCTGGTGGGTCAGCCATCGCATACCCATCCAAACCATCCACTGCGAGAACGAAACTGATTCATCATCACCCCTAGCGACTGCTTCGTCTAAGCTCGAGGGTATCCTCATGCCTGCACTACAGCACATATTCAGGCCAACCTCAACCAGGCCAATAGCTTGACCGTCGTCAGTACGGTGAACTTCGTCCATACCGGCTACACCGGGGCCTTCAGCACTGAAACCAGTTTGAGCGCGAAGTACGCGTACGATGGCAGAGCCGAATTCGTCGGCAGCTCGTACAGGTACAGCAGGGAGCGTTTCGAGTAGAGTAGGTGATGTGAACCACAAAGGGAGGAAATTGAAGATGTTGAGCCTACTGAGATCAAGAGTCGGTGCATCATCGATGTTCAGATCGTTGGCGTTGATGTTCTTGAAAGGAGTGTCCGGCTCAGGCGTCGCAAGGACTGGGTAGTCGACAAGGATGTCCAGATGCCGTGTCATCGGTTCCACTAGAGGACTAAAAGACCGTCCTGTGAACTCAAAATATGCGTTTGGATCTGACTCTGGGCTCTGAATAGGCAAGCCAAGTTCGTCTATCCACGCTTTTACGATTTCCACCTCCTTCTCGGTGAAACTTCCAAACATCTTGCCTTCCCAGGACAACTCTGTCACTAATCTACTCTTTCCACTGCTACCCTTGATTACCCAAGGTCTGCAATTGCCAAGGTCTTGTAGGAACTCTCTTTGCCACTGTGCATCTTTGAAAGCATTCGGCTCTAGCCAATCCACTAAAGAACGGCGACCAATCTTCAGGCGACTGTTGCAATGGATCTTGTGGGCGACAAAGCTTTTTGCAGCAAAGATTTCGATTAGCGCCGCCTCAGTATTGTTACGAGGAAAAGGCTCTTCAGCCTGGACCTTCAGTGACGGACTTTCTGGGGTAGTGGGTAAGCCCTCAGCGAGGATGTAGCCAGCCTGCACGCGTCTCCACGCGACATGCGCAGCTTCCTCTCCTTCCTTCTCAGCTACCATCTCAATATAGTTGGTAACTGCAGCCATTGCCATAGCAGCATGACCAGAATCGGCATTGTCGATAGATATGTGGAGTTCGAAATAGTACGGATTCAGCCGAAGTTCGCGAAGCTCCTTGACAGTCTTCAACAAGTGGAGTGGCAGGCTTTCATAAGCCATGTTGAAGCCCAAAGTCTCGGGAAGAAAATCATGAGAGAACAGGGAGATGGTAAGCTGCGCCATGGCAGCTTTCCAGCATCGCGTTTCTGTTAATCCATGGCGAGGATTGATAAAGTCCTCTGAGTCAGCAGCAGGAAGACCAGCGTCGATGTCGTTCATCAATTGTCGATACACATGTACATGGTTCTTTGCAAGGTCGCCGTCGCCAAGCTCTTCGGACATGACCTGCCATGCGTTCTTGGTAATCTGACGGTACTGGAATGGTGTAGTGATCTTGTTGATGTGTCCGAGCCACGCACCATCAACATATTTGACTGGCGCTGCTTGCTTGAGCCACCACTTTGCCTCCTCCTTGTCGGCAAACATCTCTCGGGATCCACCAGCTCTTCGGCGCGAAAGATACTCCTCCCACCGGTTGGTGACGTCGACATCTTTGGCTTTGAGAAATTCATCTAATGATTCACGTGAGAATCTCTTAACGGACAGAATGCCATTTCCTGGTTCCTTGACTGCATCCGCGATTGTTGAAGAGAGTAGACTGAGAAGGAGCTCGTTGCACTCTGGCAAAATCTCAGAGTGATTCTCGAGATGGTGTAGTTTGTAGAAGATTTGCTTGTATCTCTCTAGCTCTTCATTGCTCAGCCGGGTTGTTTCGAGAACATGGTCCTTTTCCAAGTTCGCATCTTGCGGCGGTGGTTTGACATCGTTGGTAGTGGGTATCGTTGGACTGCCTGGAGTTTCGAGATCTTTCCTTCTTGACCGGCCTTTGGCGAGACGATTTCGAACTTCGTTATATGCGACAAGTGCAAGGAACGCGATTAGTATCGCTGTGGTTGTTTGTAGAATGAACATGCTGAGAGGAATCGTAATGTTCGTTTAGCGCACACCGAACTACATTCCGTCGCTCAGCCATTGGGGAGCCCAGCTGTTTTGACTGTTGTTAGCGCAGTTGTGGCAAAGTAGCCACACCCATGTGAGTACACGCAGTGAATCATGCTGACGATGAATACGTACATGGTCAGTACTTGGACTGTCCATGTCATCGCCCTGAAGGCGATCCATGACGAGATCTGAGACTAAACCGCTTGCAGCTAGGCCAAGCGTACCCCACAGTTCGCAGGATCCGTACAAGTGGGACCTAACACTTTCGCGACATCATTTTGTTTGTTGCAACGCAAGCGGCGCAGCACACTATAGGCAAAAGAGACGGCTCTTTGCATTGACCGGTATTGCACATCTGGCCAGCTTCCAATTGTGGACACCAAGGCTCGAGCACGACATACGCGGTGCCTCTAACCGACCTGTCATTACTAACAACAACGTCACACTGACCCCTACGTTTGTTCCGCGGCTCAAGCAACTCTTGGTATCATGTGCCTTGACAGCTGCATCTGCTGGCTGTGTCTCAGAAAGCGTTGCGCAATGAAGCCACCCGCGGAGCTAGACTTGTACCACTTCTTTAACCATGACTGAAATCACGACTGCCTACCAGGCTCTCACTGAGCACCTGGCCAAGGAGAAGTATGTCTTTGTATGTCCTTCTCCAGAGACACAGGCCAGGGTGGTAAATAAGAGACGTTCCAATGTTTCGACAGAAGATGCCCAGAACGCGTATGATTTCTTTGGATGGAATCTACCGTGTACCAGGTACGATATGCATGTTGTCTTTCTTTCACCTTGCCATGCTAACAACCTGACAGGGAAGCTCTACGATCAATAATACCTGACGATGTATTCGAAAACCTCCACAAAGCCTCCATAATCACTCAAAGTGATGATGGGAGCTACCGCTCCACTATCCGCGTATCCAACTTCTACCTTCCCAACCTCCCGAATTACGAAATTGGTGCCGCGTCACCCTATTACATCCACTCGTCCTTCCCTGCATCCTCAGATTCCGTCTTCTTCGGACCTGACACATACCTCTTCGTTTCATTCCTGCAAAATATAACACGACATCTTCCACAAGCACCTAGTAGCATTATAGATGTCTGTTGCGGGTCGGGCGCAGGGGCGATACATATGGCAAGGACATATCCTCAGGCAAAGACATTGGGATTGGACCTGAATCCACGTGCGCTGAGCCTGGGCGATGTCAATGCACAGCTGGCTGGTGTGAAGGTTGGCTTTTCCGAGTCAAACCTCTATGCAACCGTACCTGAGGAAATGAAGCACTACGGCGTCGATCTCATCGTGAGTAATCCGCCCTACATCGCATCCAGCACCGACGGTAAGGACCTGCCCATATACGCAGATGGTGGTGCTGGATTTGGCCTAGATATATCCTTGCGTATCGTGGAGGAAGGGGTGAAAATCCTATCCTCGACTGGTGTCATTGTGGTATATACGGGCGTCGCCATGCCCATGGCCGACCCTGGCCGCGATGCTTTCTTAGGGAAGCTCCAACAAGTAGAAGGTGTGGAGCTTGCTGAGTACACAATCCTGCATCCAGACATGTGGCCAGAAGAGATTGGAAAGGGTGCCTACGCGGATGTGTGCAGGATACAAGTCGTTGGAGCTGTGTTGCGTCGGAATGCTCAGAGTATGGATGAGGTAAAATTAGAGACGCGCAGACGATGGGCAGTATAATATTGATTACAAGATTGAAGGGAACATTTACAGTCCAATGGTCATTGTTTGTCAGATCCTTACTTGAATTCGGCCTCTGGATGCATGCCGTCTGGAATCTCCAACGCAGTCGTATACGCAGATTGTCCGACCTGCTTCCCCCACGTATCCGTAATAGCTGGCAATACACTCCTTCCCGCAAATACTGCATTGGTGTTCGGTACAGGCCAAGGAACCGACGTATTCTTGTTGCTCAACTTTCCAGCGTAGGACGCATTGAAGTACATATTGCTGAAGGGAACCTTCCCAGACCATGCTCGCACAGTATCGCCAGTCTTTGCAGCTACGAATTTGAACACGTTAGCACCTACGTCCCAACGGCCTAGTGTGTGCAAGCCCCAATTCGCTTGTACAGTAGAGATCTCGCTGTAATGGTTGTAATAGGCATTATCCGTGGTACCGACCAGATTAGCAGGAACGGCATCTCCGAGAAGGATGCTTACGACGCGGTTCTGTTTGCCGTAGGTGTGGTTCTCGTCGAAAGTTACCATGACAAGTGTGTTGTTCATGAAGTTCTTGTTGGTGAGGAGGGGTTCGAGGAATTTCCGCGTCCAAGTTCCTGCTACAGTCACGGTAGTGTCGTGTCCTGTACACCGTGAGTATGTTTCCGAATGAACATACCGTGCTTTGGGGATACTCACCATCACTTGTCATGTTGGGTGTAATGAACATCCACTGCGGCAATTGGTCCTTGTCCATGTCTTGCTTGAACATGGTCAAAGGCTTCGTCTTGGCCAATCTGTCCGTTTTCTGCGCTACCGAATCGTACAGCACGGCTGGGTTATGCTTGCGGACGTACATGTTGGCTCCAGTCTTAGGGTTCGTGTAGGACTTTCCTTGGAAGCCAACCGACGGCATGTCTTCTTGGTACTCGCCCCAGCTAATACCTTTGTCTTCGAGGAGGTCTACCAATGTGGATACGTTGGAGGGAATCGCAACCATGTCGTCGTGGTTGATGCCATAGTAGTCGCCCGATATCGATGCGGCGTAGTTGGGCATAGAAGGGTGGGTTACAGCAAAGTAGTTCGTAAGGCTGATGCCTTTCTTTGCGAGCCATGCTAGGTTCGGATCCCCTGCTGCGAGGTCGTAGTCGGTGTTTTCAAGCCATATTATGGCAATACGGTCGAATGCCTTGCCTTTGACTATAGCATGAACTGGGCTGAGGTTCGCTAGCAATGCTAGTGATAAAACGAAGGGAGTAATCATGATGGTTTAACCACGCTGACAATCCAGTTAGTGTTGGTGGTGATACACTTTTTCGATGGCTTCTTACCAAAGAACGTCACAGCAACAACAAAGAGACACCCAAATGAAACGACAGCAGGCAGACACGCATGCCATCTGCCAGCGGGCTTTTCATACCATCTGTCAGGGTCATGGGATGCCGCTTTTGCTAGTATCCAAAGGGTCTGGACACCTCGCGAAAACTAACTGCAGCAAAGCTGCCACATTCCCACCAATTGCGGTATGTGTATCGCACATGTGCACACTATTGGAACAGGTACTTCGCACATCGATGCACTGAATGCGGGAGGTTAAGCTTTTCGGGAAGGTGGACAAGCTTTGGATGGGTTCGCGAGATCAACGTGCGAAGTTGATTGGACACACACCCTGGGCAAGGTCGAACTCGGCAAATCTGCGTTGATTGATGGCACGACCCGCGGACGCAGGACATGACCACGCTGCAGATAAAGCGGCGTGGCGGGATGATCTCCTGCACTCGTACAGCGGCTGTTCTGATGGTGGCGACGGCATTCACGGGCTCCCTGGATGAGATGACAGGTAGTGACGGCTGCCACCAACTTACAAGAACGATCAGGGATTTGAGGGGAGTGACATCAAACATCGAAGAGATTACAGCTACATGAACACTGTGTAACGCTCTTATGAGACTGGCCGGGAATTGATGAAGGACTGTGGAAGCTAGCCGCGATGGGCCGAGACCAAAGCTTTGGCATGAGAGACATGTCTAATTCGAACGCATGTGAGCCCGAGGAGCAAGTTGGCTTGCTACATGCATCTACCGACGATGATAGCGAACACACAGAAGATGATCGGGGACCGCGCTGGACCGATAAGCACGAAACCGCACAGCACCACAAACCTCGGCGGCCATGGATCAGAGTCACCACCGTTGCTTTTCTCCTCATTTCCACAATTATCGTCTTGGTGCACCGAGGACTAACCGGCAGCGAGCACACTGCTTCGCCATCCACTACCTCTAGTCTTGCAAGACTTCGACCGGAAGAAGACTACATACTCTCTTCAGGATGGGATTTTAACGCTCCACCTACGACCCGGGAGTATACTTGGGAAGTAAAGGACCACATTCTCAATCCTGACGGAGTGTATCGCCCTATGATACTCATCAATGGCACCTTTCCTGGGCCTCTGATCGAGTGCAACGAAGGCGATGAGCTTGTTGTCCATGTCCGCAACCAAGCCACCAATGCCACATCTATCCACTGGCACGGTCTCTACCAAAACGGCACAAACTGGATGGACGGAACAGTGGGAGTCACGCAGTGTCCGATTGCCCCAGGCCATTCATTCACATACCGGTTCAATGTAACGGGGCAAACGGGAACGTACTGGTATCACTCGCACGTTAGCATGCAAGCGTCAGATGGACTCGTGGGACCGCTCATCATACACGCCCGGGACGGAGAAGAGAAGATGGAATTGCAAAAGGTACCGTATGAACAGGACCGCGTAGTTCTACTGTCGGACTTCTACTACGATCTTTCCTCCGACCTACTTATGCAGTACCTCTCCCCTGGCAGTGAGAACGATGAGCCTGTTCCCGCATCTGCCCTGATTAACGGACGAAACGTGCGAGACTGCGCCGATATACCGAATCGAAACTGTTCATCATCTGGCATTAGCAATGCTTTGTTTAGCTTGTCGCGCACGAGCAATACACGACTTCGCATTATCAACGTTGGGGCTTTTGCAGAATTTGCCTTGCAAATTGACGAACATGAGTTCCAGGTCACAGAAGTAGATGGCACGGATGTGTACCCTCAATCAGTTCATCGGCTGAACATCAACTCTGCGCAGCGGTACAGTATAGTCCTCACTCCACCCAGTGAGGATGGGAACAAAGAGGCGTATTGGATGCGTGCGAGGATGGTGACGCACTGTTTTGCGTATGAAGAGCCGGAATTGCAAGAAGAAGTTAGGGGTATACTATACTATCCTACAACGGATAGTGAAACGAAGGATCTTGTACCAAAGAGCAAGGATTGGCCTGAAATTATCGATGTCGAATGTCGGGACCTGAACACTTCGACTCTGGAGCCTGTCATCGCAATAGCACCACCGGAGATCGATACTCAATACGCCCTCTACCTCCGCTCCTCGTTCCAGATCGGGGATTGGAGACTCTCGCGAGGCTATTTGAACGATAGTTCTTTTCGCACAAATGCTACCTCACCGATCCTAAACACCATGCTTTCGACACGGACCGTCGAGTCGAGTGTTCACGAAAGAATTCTAGACACGGACACGTTTGACCCTTTGCACCAACTCATTTATCAGACGCAATCGACGCGGACCATAACGATCCTAATACAGAATCTAGACGACGGAAACCACCCCTTCCATCTCCATGGCTACAAGTTCTTCGTCCTCGCTCAGGGACACGGGTATCCACCTTCTTCCCTTCTCGAACCCGACTATGTTGGAAGTCATCTCAATCTGACCAATCCGCTGCGGAGGGATACGGCAAGTGTAGAAGCATACGGGTGGCTGTTGATATCATTTGTGGCGGATAATCCAGGCATGTGGGCGTTTCATTGCCATATAGGCTGGCATACCGAGGCTGGCTTGATGATGGTGTTTGCCACTAGGACGCAAGATATGAGGGGCTGGAAGGTACCTGAGGAAGTTGATGGGTTGTGTGGGCTGGAAGGAGTAGATAGGGGTATGGCGCCAGATGATGATGTCTGGTTTGGCAGGAGGGAAGAAGAAAGGAGAGGTGAGATTGATAGATTATCGTAGCAGTCTAGGCATCTCTTTGGAATGCGCAGCATTATTGTTGCTGAACTGCTAGGAGATGTGCCTGATTTCTCATTCCTGTTGATAGATGAGATCGAAATCTCTAATATACATATTTCCATGTACACGTCTCGTTACAATGATAGCCCAAATTTCAACAACGAAGTTGGGGTTTCGAACATTGGGTTGTTGACTTCTCCTGTCATCACGGTCCTACGACTTGTTGTCGCTCATGACTCATATCCTACACTGTCCTCGAATACGATGCGGTCCAATCTTGGCCACTAGACCTGTCGCTGGTGTACTTTTCAGTGATCAGAATGATTCACTCAAAGACAACCTCACTCCCAGATGCCAAACCACTTCTTCACCCTCCTTCTCCTGATACCATCCTCACCAACGTAATACCTCGGGTCCTCGACATATTCCTCGCCCCTCTCCTCAGCCTCCCTCTTTCTCTCCAATCGGAACTGCTTCCTCTTCTCAACCTCTTCGGCCTTCTGCAGCCTCTGCTGCTGGTACTGCTGCGACGTCTGCGCCATGTGCATCTTGTAGACTTCAATGAAGCGCGAGGTGGATTCGAAGGGGTGGCGGACAAAGTCTTTGCGTGTAGGAAGCAAGTGGCCGAAGACGGTCTTGGAGATGAAGTCCATGTACCATGCGGCTATGGCGAGGGAGACGAGTATGCCCTATTGAACAAAGTGGGGTTAGCCTGGGGGGGACGTTTGGACAATCAGGCGGGGTATTAGAGGGAGCGCTACCATTGTGATCCACAGATGAATTGCCCGGTTGTGGAGGAACCAATGTGAGAAGGTGCCCTCTGGACTCATCATATTGGGGTATTTCTTGGATGCCATGCGCTTCTTGTCTTCTTCCGATACGGGCGCGCCATAGATCTTGTTCTCCAGATTCCGGTTCGGGGCTCGCTTGCTGTGTGATGGCGGTCGGTACTTGTCGGGCTGCGGTATTACGGGCGCTCCCCTCTGCTGCTGTGCTTCTCGCCGTCTCCGGAACTCTTCTGACAGGCCCTTGGGGGTAATGGAGGCATGGCGGACACTGGTGGGTGAGGGCAGTGGGAGGAAGGCGCGGGCTTGAGGTCGCAGGAGCAGCGGGCCCCGGGGAAGGAGGAAGCGCGGTATCGATTGGAGGGTGGCCATGGCTGTGGGTGGTGATGCTCGTCGTCTCGGGAGTCCGCAGAACCGTGGGATGAAGATCTTCAGGTGCCGGAGAAAGCTCGGGCCGGCGCATACCTACAATTAATCGTTTGGGCATCATCGCCTCTCCTCACTTCTTTCCTCACGGCAACAAGCCCCTTTTCACCCATATCGCGCGTGTACACGCGCTTCGGCTGCAACTCACCTTCGATCTGTTAGTGGAGAGACGACGACTAATCGCAGAGTAGTATTGACGCCAGTGTGTCCCAGGTCGCAATGCCTTCTAAGCAACCGCCCTCGTTCGGATCGCAAGCCTACTGGAACAATCGCTTCGCTTCCAACACGGATCCTTTTGAATGGCTCGAGGCTCCCAATGTCCTGGATCCCTACATTGTCGATTCTTTAGACGCTTCGCCCACGCCCAAGCCCCAACTTGTCCACATAGGTTGCGGCACCTCGCTGCTATCCTACCATTTGCGCGCTCATGTAGACAGCCCGCGACAGATACACAACTTGGACTACTCGGAAGTTGCCATTGAGGTTGGCAAGATCCGCGAACAGGAGATATACCAGGATCCGAGGGCCAATGTCGCGTGCATGCGCTGGGACGCTGTAGATCTGCTCGACTACAAGTCTGTGATGCGCGTATGCAAGCGCGCTGCCTATTCGGTTATAGTTGACAAGTCAACATCCGACTCCATTGCCTGTGCAGACGACGTCCTTGTTCCTTCACCGTATCCGCTAGCAGTTCGATCCTATGAACCCCTCAATTTGGATCCCGCCAAGTCTCCGGAACTTATTCATCCTTTGGTCGTCATGGCTGTGAATTTAGCGCTCATGACAAAACCCGGGGCGCGCTGGATCGCTCTGTCTTATTCAAGCGATCGTTTCTATTTCCTGGATGCATCCGCAAAGGACGTGATACCCCAAGGTGTAGCTTTCCCACATCCAGCTGATCTGTGGCATCTAGTGGAGAAGCGCGAGATTGAGGATAATGACTGGCAAGTACGGAACGAGAGGACCAACGATGCGGTAACACACAGACCAAAGGTGGGCAATTTTGTATATATCCTGGAGAGGACCCATTTACCACTAGTTGTTCGCGGAGAACATATTTAAGCAAGAAGCAATTTTTCTTCTCTCCAAATTAGCATCTCCGCCAGGCCAGAATCACGACACAAAACCACCAAGCCACTTTTCGTAGCAAACACTCGCCTCAGCCTCCGAATATTTCCCAAACATCCCCCGCTGGGCGAATCCGCATCTCTCATAAAAACGCCTCGCCGTTGTCATATCGACGCCTGTCTCCAGTAACAACCACGGCAATCCTCTTTTACGTGATTCGCCTTCCAGCTGTTCAAGTATCAGCTGCGCAACCGAAGTGCGCGCCCCGTCATCCCCGCCCAATCGGCCCCGGTATGCTGGGGCAACAAACATCCGTTTTATCTCAGCGGAACTCTTGCGTGCATTTTCCGAAGCTGAAGAAAGAGGACGTAGGCCACCGCATCCTACTGGTTTGTCGTCGTGATATGCAATAAGAAAGACTGCAACGTCAGCAGCTGATGGTAGATCACAGTAATCTGGACCCCATTGAGCAGTTAACTCGGCTTGTTGGGTGGTACGGAGTTGAACGCTATCTGGATGGTCGAAGGGAACTGGACGTATGACGATATCTTGGATAGATGGCATGTTGAAAGTGGTACAAAGAAGCGATGTCGAGCCAAGTCTAGAGATATTTCCATGTTTTAGAGCACCACGCCCTACTCACGACAGGTAGATTACTCGAGGCTGGGAGTCATAGGCTAGCCTTATCGGACCTTCTACTTGCGGCAATTTGCTAGTAGAATTTGTACTAGAGTATTGGAGTCACCGAATACGAGGTTCTTTGCATCCTTACGCTGGCCATGATTTCATTGGTCCAACGCGACTACCAACAGGCTACAGTTTAGGCGTCGATCATGCACCTCCACGATTCACTTTCTCACCATCCATACCGGGCGTATCTTCAAACACACACAGCATGGCGCAATCGCCCTGTCCGACACGCCAATATACCTCGGAAAACTTCATCGAGAGCTGCGGCGCCATTGCCCACGATCCCACTCGCCAGAAGATTTGTCTCATCCACCTCGCTCAATCAAATATGTGGGTACTACCGAAAGGACGGCGAAACGTCGGAGAACCGCATCGAGAGGCCGCACTGCGCGAGGTGTACGAGGAAACTGGGTATATATGCCATATCCTGCCTGTGGACATGGTTGCCAGAACGCCTGTTGTAGGTGATGCAGCGGATGCTCCTGATGTGCCGCGCACACTACACAATTCAGTGGAGCCTTTCATGGTTACTGTCAGAACTGTGAGAGAGGGTCAGGGTGTCAAGATTATTTGGTGGTATATTGCGATAATGTATGAAAGTGCTGGTGAAACAAAGGGGCCTGGTGAAGAGGGGGTTGAGACAGGCTTGTTCTCGTATCCTGATGCTGAAGAGTTGCTGTTCTATGAGACAGATCGAGAAGTGTTGCGCAAGGCCAAGGTACTTGTTGGGAATCTAGACTGAGTTGACTAGTCCTCCAAGCCAAGTGCAAAGGACGAACTAATCTTCTTTCTCCAACCATTGCTTGCTCGCCTCGAAGAGCTTTGGGAAGGCATCATCAAGAGACATAAGCTTCTTGAAATGATCCTCGCTTACGCGCTTGATGAAATGCATCATTGACACAAGAATGAAGTCTGCATAAGAGACTGCTTTCTGATTAGCATTGCATAATTCAGATCTTCCACTGAAGTGGTGTTCACTTACCAGTCTGACCAAGAAAATACGGGCCACCGCTCTTTCTCAGCAGATCACCCATCTCTTTCGCTGGCGCTTTAGCCTTCTCCCAGCACTCCTCAGCATTAGCATCCTTTTCTACTTGTTCCAGCGGCTTCCCGAACAACTCCTGCCTCGTCTTGTAGAAGTAATCAGCACTTGGCTTATTCAAGAATGCTACTGGCACCCGAGGGATAATCAAGGATCTGAGCGGACCCATTAAATTGGGTTGGAGGTCCCTGATCTTCACAACAATCGGATCGTCGAAATGTAAAGAAGGGCTCGGGTGCTGCTTCTCGAGCTCGAGAGCAATGGGCCATGAGTCCATTTGGTAAGTTCCGTCTGCATGCTTGATAGCAGGACTGCTGTAGTCGGTGAAATAGCCATGTGCGTCCTTGGGATTCGGGGGAATGCCGAGGGATTTGAACTTGGGTGCGAGATCGGGATATTCCACCCATTCGGTCGTGTAGTCAATCTTCTTGTAATTCAAGACCATACGAGCTGCAAGCTTGTTATTGTTTCCGACGTACCATAGTTAACGTGGAAAAAAGACGTACTCTTCCATGGGTTCAACGACCACGCGGCGCCGTCTCTGCTAGGGAGGTCAAACAGGATTACCTTTGACGACGACATTTTTGCTTAACTGGGAGGATCGATAACTGCGAGCAAGACAAGGATAGGCACGATAAAAAGTAGATGTTTGAGGTCGATTTACATTGCGCCCTTCGAGCTATCTTCTCCACAGTCATTTGTAATCGGCCGGTAGTTCCATGTGGGGAATATCTGAAGCTAGTTGGCTTGAAGCTCTCTCGCGCGCGGATCATCACTAATCCAACCTCGCTGTAGCCTCGTGATGACGGAGTCGTTGTACAAAGCAGTACAGAACGATTGTAATGTCTGTGAGCAGTTCGGAGATTGGTGAGTACTCGCATGGGTGCAAGCTGACAGAGACGTCAAGCGAGCGAGCCGCGGCCGAATCTCAGGAACTCCTTCCCACCCGGGCAGTCGCGTCGAATACAACAACATTCACAACAATACTGATTCCAGCTTCATTCACCCTCGCGTAATTTCCATAAGTGCATACCCGAGTTCAGGCGTATTCTGCGACATACTAAAAGCTTCCTGCCTTGCGCTTTCCGCGCTACTCAAGTATCTTCCCGCTGTTGCATCCTAGGCGAATGGGGAGTTCAGCCCCCCTCGTGGCTTCAGGCCACCTGCACACTCACAAGGCTAGGTGCGCCTCGATAAAACGATGTGCACTCAACAGGCAGTTATAGCTAACAATAGTACTACTGGTCCCTTCAATCACTGGCTCTAATGTAAGGCTTAGCCTTTTGCTCGGCAGAATGCAAGACGAAGAGGTCATGAGCTGGATCACGCTTCTGTATCGAGGGCTGCTTCACGATAGGCGCATGGTAAGTAGCAGAACGACTGTTCCGACTTCTATTATTACATCCTGATACCTCTTTTCTTCCTTTCTTCTGCCTCTCCGCGGGACTATCCAGTTGCTTCGCCTGTCTTGTGCCGCTCAAGAGGCCTGCAGCTGCGCTTGTTGTGGCCCCCAAACTTTCAGCCCCCAGAGCCACCAATGCTTCCTGGATCGCCGTGCGGGAACTTGTCGGGAGGGAGCGATAAGAACGCCATGTGCACTCCATGGGAATTGTCTCATCTCCTCTGCCTTCAACCATACCTCCTGCGACTTCCCTAGGCGAAGCCTTGCAAACCTACCCCACGATAGCTCTGGTTCATCCTCAAATACTCAGGAACCACGGCCACTACCATATCAGTGATTCCGATTTCGCTGCCGAATACGCATACAGCCCTACTCGCTGCTTAGTTAGGCTAGATCCATCCAAAACGCTTGTACCGTCCCGTCGGATTGGGTACGAGATCTGGAGCTGCGCAAACCCACCTTCACAGCTGTGGGGTAAAGCTCTGATACCCCATTCTCTCGAAAGCGAGGCAAGAAGCGATGGACCGTAACCGCACAGTCAGTGGTGGGCATTCCGATAATGCGCCATTGATGAGCTCAGCCGAACCGCCAGGTTACGACGGTGGAGATCTTGCGATGCGACACGATGAATCGTACGCACCCGACGATACGTCGTACTCACCACCGATGGTCTTGTCGCCCGAAGTCATAGACTCCAAAGGCGGTGCCTACACCACCCTGAATACACCCCGTACCCCCAGCTCTACGTTCAGTGTAGAAAACGGAGCCTACCACCACAAACATCACAATCGAGTTAAGCGTTTCGATCACCGCGAAGCCCGCAAGACGCTCCTGAAAACTGGAGCGATGAAGCTCCTCGTGACACTGTTCTTCAGTGCAGCGATGTGTGTCACACTCAAATCATGGGAAGGATGGCGCGGCAGTATCGTCCTTTCCAATCTCGATGTTCGAATCTTCAACTCGCTCACCATTGGGCTCTCGCTGTGTCTGGGTTTGAACATCCTGGCCTCGTTGAAGCACTACGCCTCCGTCTTTCGATGGTCCTTCCTCACTAGACGATATGTCAGTCTGGAGGTATTCGATCTCATACTACACCTAAGCTCGCTTGCCAAAGTCACAAAGTTGATGATCCTCAGCTCACCTGGATTTCGTGGCAAGACTTGGCTACGGAAGTTTGGCTGGTTCAAGGATGTCAGAGATGATGGGACCAAGTGGATGTGGCTTGCGTGCCTAGCTTGGCTGTCTCTTAACATTGGCTCTCAGATCTTGGTTGCATTACTGAGTCTGTTCTGGCCAATGGAGAATTCAGAAATTCCCCTCTTTTCCTATGGAACTGTAATCGTTGCCGATATGAACGGGTGGTCTGTGAACGACACCTCACCCATGCTTATTTATGACAAGCCCCGATTCACTGAGAACTCGCTTGAGACGGCTTGGATGTTCGGTACGCAGGCCATGGACTACCCCGAATTTCCTTTCACGACTATCGAGAAGATGGACACTGATCCATCCGGCTTACAAGGCGCACCCATCTACAAAGGTGACGACGCCTGGCATTATCGCTTCTTCAACCGCGATCCAAAGCATCCGTGGATCAACTATGTAGCTAGCTCCCGCACTATGAGTGTCCAGGCAACGTGCGAGAAGCTTGAGCTACAAAACAGCACTCTGCAGGATGATGAACGTGGTACATATCTCATGGGAAGGAAGCCGGGCACGGAAGAATATACCCAGCACGATGTCACCGAAACAGCTTGGGGATCTGTCACTTGGATGGCATCCGTGTATGAGAGCTGTGGTCCGAGGTGTACGAACTTCACTATCGTCCGACTGCCAGACAATATACGCGTAAATGATACGTCCCTATTCCTCTGCAACAATACCGTCGGAGAAGTGATAGATGGCAAGCTCAAGAAAAACGATATCACAATAAACGGTCACAACGCTTCGGATGCAGTGTACGGTAGCGACGACTTCGCTCGTATAGCCGCCGGGTCAATAAGCTGGACGGGCTTTCCCTGGAATAGCTGGGATGACAAACAGACGCGATCCTACAGCCAGGGCTCCAAGTGGTCTCCGGCGCACGAGCTCAAGAAAGAAGAGCTTGAAGACTTGCTAATGCGCTTCACGATCGGTGCTGTAGCCGCGTTCGACGACCACGGCATCCGCTACAACGTCACCGAGCAAACTGTCGTTCCCTCACAGGGTCAACAACTCAACGTGGACTGGTCCTATATCTTCAGTATTTTGGGCGGAATATGCTTCATTCAATTCCTGGCATTGTGTTTGATGGGCATCTTTGCCAATCGTACGATTGTGCGGGATGAGAGTTACTTCAGTATGGCTATGTTGTTGAACCCGGTTGTAAGTCGCATCAAGAGTGAGTCGGCTATGACCATGAGTGGGGATGAGATAAAAGAGACCAGGGTACTTCAGTTCAAGAAGATCAAGTACGACTATCATGAGGGAGGGAAAGGGGAGCCGAATCGCGTCGCTATCTTCTTTGAGGGTGAGGACCGTCGAGAGAGTAGGAAGAGTTGGGCGGCAGGGAGCTATGCGTAATTCCATCGTACTTAGTACATCTCCTCGATTTTATGGATATATTCAGATTAATGTTATTGTTGCACTTGCCTAAAAAAAAAACACATGATTATGATTGGCAAAGGGGCACGCAGTAGGCGGCGCAGCTCGGAAGGTTGGTTTGTGCGGAGCGGCATGCCGCGTGGATCGACGCGGTTGCATGACGCTCACTTCACAACGACTGTGTGCTGGCCAAGTGACTAGACACAACTCCCAAATGGACCGGCCCAGCCTTCCTTGTACACATGGAGATGCGTGGCAAGGCATTCGTAATAGTCTGATATTCTGGTCATGGGAAGAGCGGAAGGTGTACCGCGGCAACCATGCAACCATCCAGAGGTTGTAGACTGCGCCTTCCTGCTATCGATTGATACTTCCCTGAATCCTACAGCCTCGCCTCAACTCGCCTCATACACTCCTACCCGGGAAACACTATGCTCATGCGATCATCATTCACTTACATTCATCCCCCTCTAGTATTGTTGTTGTAGTCCCACGCTCGCTCTGCGCATTATTAGCTCACACATGGTCGGCTCAGCCCACGGTTGAGGGGTAGGATTCCACAATGGTAGGTTGGATGCAGATCGCATGCCTCAGCGCATATTCCTTTGTTTCGCACGCTCTAACACACGTCATTAGGGTTGTTGCGCCTCACGCACGAGCGACGATAGTCCGCCTGCTGTCCACGCGCATTCTTCGTCGCGCAACATCACGGCGCCTTCGACGCGACCAAGCTCAATTCCTTCACCACGCGCCTCCCATGCCTCGCAGGGAAATGTCCACCCACCACGCGCGGATAATCGCCCAAACACCCCGCTGAAGCCCATCCCTTCTGCTCAGCGCTCGCGCCTGCCTAATACGCTCGCTTCCATCACCACCAAGACCAGCAGCCGTGTCAAACCTCTAACGGACTCCACAAACCTGACATGGACGCGATCGCGACTGGAGAAGGAGCGTGGGGACTGGTGGGACACACAAGTCACTGGTTCGGAGCAGATATGGCGCGCTGTACGCCTCGTGGCGCACTATCTACAGGCTGGGGAGCTGCAAGAGGCTCAGACGATGCTGGATGCCAATGATTGCACCTGTCCAACGGGACTACTTTGGCGAGGCGTATACGATCCGACTGGTGTCCAATACAAAATTCCCGAATGGGTGGTTGTTGAACCAGAGGGACTGGCAGAAGAAGATGATATGGACGACAAGGACGTGGCTAGAGATGCCGGCTCCAGTGCTATCCAGGAGACGTTGGACGACCCGGTCGACGACGATTCCAACGGCCTCATACGTGTGCGAATAAGGACGAGCCATGACCAGAAGGATGTTCCGGTCGTAATTCGGATGCGAGACACTGTCGCAATCATCATTGAGAAGTTGAAGCAGCAAGCAAAGGTACGCCTTTTCTCTCCCCGCTACACAGCCTGCGCAAAGCAAGCACATTGCTAACAATACACAGCTGGATTCCACCGTCAAAGTCCGCCTCGCCTACGGTGGGCGCGTCTACCAAGACACCGAGACGTTGGAATCTCATTCTTACTGGGACTTTGCTAATAACTTCGTCATCACCGGGCTTGTATTTATCGTTTGATACCCTTCCTTTTCGTTTTACTTCTGTCAACAACAAGGTATAGCTTAAAGTCTACATCGTCTCCTAATAAGAAAACTTATAAAGATTAATAGTATTGTAGCCTTTTAGGGTTTCTATTTACATCCATATGAATCTAATACGCTTTATTGTAGTAGGAAGAAGTACTCTGCCCTAAAGAGGAGTCTAGTTTCTCTCTTTGATGTAGTGATTGCGAGCTTGTAATTGTAGTCGCCAGGCCAGGTATGAAGTGGTTCCAATCCCACTCGAATAAAACGTAATCTTACCCGTTGATCATCTGGGTTCCACATTTTATCTGTAAAAAATATTGAGATGAGAATGATGGAGCATACACTGCAGATAGCTGGGCCATGGCACATATGGTACCGTGTACCATTGATTCCTTTCCTTGTGGCACAACAGACGCTCACGCCGTCTATAGAGGGCTCGTTTTACCAGTGAGTGATATAATAATGCATACGTTAGACGATTGTGAGTTCGCTCGCACTCGAACATTAGGTCAGTATCTCCGGCCTGTGCTTAAACCCGGGTCAGCAACATCACCACGTCCATTCAACAGAGTGCTGATTGAGCCAATCTAATGGAATGGACTGATCCTACTCTGAGCTATTCGTCAAGTGTTGGATGCCGTCCCATCTAGCTCAAAAGTCACTACATCATCTACTGATACCGTGATGGGTGCCGTGAACCCTGTGACATCATCGGCATTTTCCCCGAGGTAACATAGGCCGCCATGACGACGAATTACTCTTAATGTGAGTACCATAAAAACTCACTAAGAGAACAGCATTATACATTTAAACAATACGAATAACGTCAACATGCTCGCATCATCCGCTTCGCGTTCCTTACGCACAACATCCACAAACAGACTATCGCAAATAACGCGACAACTTCACCCAGAACAAGTCAGAATGGCACACAATGGCACAACCTTTACGCTCAATACGGGCGCAAAGATTCCAGCTGTTGGATTCGGAACATGGCAGGATAAGGAGGCTCAGGAGCCGTAAGCTTCCCTGCCATTGACAAGAAGCCTGGCGTTCACTAACACGTGCATCAGAGCCGTCACCATAGCCCTCAAGTCCGGCTACCGCCACATTGATACAGCACGCATTTACGGCACCGAACCAGCAGTAGCCGCCGCCATTAAAAAATCTGGCATCCCTCGTTCCGAGCTATTCATCACGACTAAGCTATGGAACAACTCGCACCACCCGGATGACGTAGAAGCTGCTCTCGACGCTTCGCTCAAAGACTTGGGAACCGACTACCTCGATCTCTACCTCATGCATTGGCCCTCTCCCTTCGCTCGCAGTTCAGAGATGTTCCCGAAAGATGCCAGCGGTAAGACCAAGCCCGGCGACAGCGACTACGTCGACACATACAAAGCCATGGAGAAGTGCTTCAAGAGCGGGAAAGCCCGCGCAATCGGCGTTTCCAACTTCAGCAAGAGTGAACTCGAGCGGCTGATCAAAGAAACCAGCGTCGTTCCTGCTGTCCATCAGATAGAATGTCATCCCTACCTTCAGCAAAACGCCTTCTCGGACTACCACAAGCAGCAAGGCATCCATGTAACACAGTATTCACCTTTTGGAAACCAGAATGAAATCTACGACTCCGGGAAAAATATGAACAAACTCATGGACGACCCAGTGCTCGTTGAGATAGGAAAGAAGCATGGTAAGACAGGCGCGCAGGTTGCGCTGGCTTGGGGTATTGCCATGGGCCACTCTGTTATCCCAAAGAGTAAGACGGAGTCGAGGATCAAGGCAAATTTGGAGGGTGATTTTGAATTGCCCAGTGAGGATGTTGAGGAGATTGCCAAGATTGACAAAAAGTTGAGGTTCAATGATCCGAGTGCTAACTTTGGATGGAATTTCTACTCGGATCTGGATGGCAAGAAGAAGTAAGGTAGTATAGCGTACCATGTAAAACATGTCATCACTCAACCACCGCTTCTTCATTTGGCTAAGTTGTGAACACAATTGCCACTATAATTGTTCTCAGAAAGCGCATTCCAATCATATACAAGACGGACATAGAACGACATTCTGAATAAGGCTTGTTCACACTGCACAGTATAGATACGTAAATCTCAGGACATCACACTGCACATGAACAATCAGGTTAAGAGCAACGACAGTTTATTAGAGATTATTACGTCGATGTGTGCCCTAGTGGCCGCTTGTGTACTCCTTCTAACAAGGCGGTACGCAGAGGGTATCCGGGGTATTGCGCGATAAAACAAGGTGCGTCCGAGATCCGCCAGTGGTATCAAAACGAGAGAAACAGCTAAAGTGGTATCAGTCTAAACCATCGCGATCCATCCACAAAAGAGAGTGACAAAGAGTTGGTCCAGATGCAAGGAGAAATCGAATATGAGAGGGGATATGTGAAGAAACTTGATCCAAATGAACACGCCTGAATCCATGTATAAGATCCAAAGCAGATTTTTGGGGGTATCAGAGTTGGTCGGGCGGTCAAAGAAGGGATTTACGTTGTCTTTGCTTTTCCGTCATTCCGTCGTGGCTGTCGTTGCAAAGGCTGACATCTTCCCACCACACCTTACGCAGTTGTAGCGACAGTCGGGTTGGCGCTTTTCGAAGCGTCGGCCACGCTGGCCTCAGCGGGAACATCACCAACAACCGGGGTAGCGGTCTCCTCCTTCTTCTCCTCAACGACGGGAGCAGCGGTCTCCTCCTCGGTGACGGGAGCGGGGCTGACAGCCTCCTTCTTGTCCTTGGGCGCCTTGTTACCGGTGGCCTTGGACAGGGAGCGTCCGAGGTTGCCGAAGAACGACTTGCGCTTGTCTTGCTTGGGAGCCTCAGTCTCTGGGGTAGCCTCGACCTTGGTCTCAGCGACAGGGACAGGCTCGACAGCCTGAACGGGCTCAGCGGTGGTGTCCGCAATTTGAGGAGCGGCAGCGTCGACCTTAGGCTCGGGAGCTGGCGACTTGGCACGGTCCTTGGAGCCAAAGAACTTTCCGAACTTGAAGTGGTCCTTCTCCTTGGAAGGAGTGGAGACAGCCTTAACCTCCTCAGGCTTGACCACTGGCTCAGTGGCAGTGGTGGTGGTCTCAGGAACGACGGGTGCGGCGACCTGGGCCTCTTCGAGAGGCTTGGAGGCCTCGGGAATGGTCTCGTTCTCCTTGACGGGAGTGGCGGCGAGACCAGCCTCGTGCTCCTTCTTCTCGGTGGTAGGAGACTTGAGCTTCTCGACGAAAGATCCGAAGATGGAGCCGCGCTTCTGGGGCTTGGGCTTCTCCTGGGTTACGGGAGCAGCAGTCTCGTCGACCTTGACAGCCTCCTCAGTAGGGGCAGCAACAACGGCAGCAGTGGGCTCGGTTGTGGTCTCAGCGGGGTGAGTAACATCGTTGGCGTTGACGGGAGTGGTGGCAGGAATCTCGTCAAGGTGGGGAACGACGGCAGGAACAGCAGCAGGCTCCTCAGTCTTGACCTCAGGCTCGGTCTTGACGGCGTCGGTCTCCTCCTTGGGCTCCTTGTCCTTCTTTCCGAGCAGGCCGCCGAAGAGGCTGGCGCGCTTGCCACGCGAAACCGAGCGAGACTTGCTCTTAGCCGCCTTCTTGCGCTTCTCCTCGTCGGAAGAGGAGCTGGAGGAAGATCCAGCACGAGCAGCGACGGGCTCGCCAGCAGCGGCGGTCTCACCCTCGGCGAGCTTGGGGGTAGCGTCCATGCTCTTCTTGGGGGCGGAGGATGTAGCTCCCGCTAGCGCGGTGGGCTTGCCTGCGGGATGTTAGCCTACTGCAGTAACACGGCCAGATCGTCCACTAGTGCCATCGCGACGCGACGCGACCTGAACAAAGTGTAAACTTACCAATCTTCTCCTTGTTCTCCTTGTAGCCCTCACTCGACTCGATCGTGTCCTTGGAGGCCTTGGCCTCGGTGATGGCCTTCTCAACGGCGACGAACCATCCATCGCGCTCGGCAGCGGTGGTAGCCTCGAAGGTGTGCTTGTGGCCAGAGATCTTGAACGCGAAAGCGACAGCGCCGTCCTTGGCGAGGTCAGTAGCATAGGCCTGATGCATGTTAGTTGTGCCTTCCTGTCTGGGAGAGATTGTGTCCTACCAAGTTGAGAACACCGGCGGGGTGCTCCTTCTGGTCAGCGTGCTTGACGAAGAAAAGAAGACCCTTTCCGGTCTGGCTGGACCACGCGGCAACTGGGTGAGCAACCTCGGGCTTCTCGCCACGGAGGTACTCCCTCAGGTTGTCAGCGGCAACTGGCTCCTCGCCGAACCAGAAGTACTTCTTGGCGAAGCGGAAAGCGCTGCAAGTTTGTCAATAAACCATCGTCGGCGGTGACATGCTCCAAGACTCACTTCTTCAGACCGGGCGCCTTGTAGCCAAGTGCACCGCTGTAGATGGGCTCAACCACCTTCTCCTCCTTGACCTCCTCAACTGGCGCTGCGGCCGTGGCCTCGCCCTCAGTCTTGGGCACCTCCTCCGTCTTTGGCGCCTCCTCTGCTACTGGCGCTGCGACAACAGGCTCGGTAGCGACAACAGGTGCTGGCGCAGGCTCCACGGTGCCAGCAGTGCCAACCTCGGGGACCTCAACCGGCTTGGGGGCGTCGACGGGGGCAGACATGTTGTGTATTGCTGTTTGTTTTGGGAGCGGAAGTGTTTGTGCGGGGGGTAAGTGGGTTCGAAAAGAGGAGTGTTGTCGAGGCAAGCTCAATGTTTGGGGTATTACAAGATGTACGAAAAGGGAAAGTTCTACGCTCGCAAAGTGCAGCGGCAGACAAGCAGGCACGACCTTGTTAAGGATGTGAAGGGCGGTGAGGAGGAAAGAAGGATAGAAAATCTCAGACGATCAAGGAATGGGAGAACTTTAAGGTGAGGGCTGTTGCTAGGTAGGGGTTCGCCAGGCAGGGATGTTAGCAACGAAATTGGCTTTCGCGGCTGCACGTCCACTTAGACGGACCCGCCTGCACCTAGCCCGCCCGAATAGCACCATTCACCAACGTTATGCACTGAGCAGCTCTGAAACAGCGACTGTGCATCCAGCATCAACCCGTCGTTCAGTAACAAGGCCACGGTGAGCAGAAGCTGGATTGTGTCGCTCATCGGCACATGGCGGATTGTCATGGTTGGCGCCCACGCGTCTGATAAGCTCGTGGTCAACAGACCCTTGGAACGTGGTCGCATGATCTGTCTGCCCCTCTTCACCACTTGCTGAAGAGATCGCCAACCCTAGGAAAGAGCCTGAGACTCTGCTATCTTTGATAGCTCACGAGACACGGTTAGGCGGCGACGGGACAGGATTAAACGGCGCCGTCGTGGTAAACATGTAGCTATCTGTTAGGGCATCTCGTCTCCAGCCAGGCCTTTGTCATCGATCAACCGTCAGCATCACTACACTGTACATCCAGCTTTCGCACCATCTGCCATGATGAGTATAACCGTGATCGGCATCCCTATTCTGCAGCCAACCCACAACATGCACATCATCACCCGAGCCTTTCTCGAGCCTCACTCGACACAAAATAAAAAAGGGCGGCTCAACGGCTGCTGTGAACACCTTTGTCACCACTTCTCCAACTCTGTGCTACACCACAGCCGTCTTTGATCGCGCCATCGCGAACTTTGCACAACTCGACCTTTCGCGCCACGCCAAGCACGTCTGAGCATCCAAGGCTAGACACTTCTAGCGGCCTGCACGTAACGAATCGCGCCACGCCACCACCCTCCAAGCGTGATCCCCGTTTACAAAAAGGCGTCAAGACCCTGGCGCCCAAATTGCTAACCTTCATACTGGCGAATGCAGCCGAAGAGACTACGTGCCGCCATCCTTGGTCTTCCTGGCGTTCACGCACGCTTAACTTGCTTTTCTTTGATTCGAAATATTCACGAGGCTGGCATTTCGATGGCGTCAACACAGTACCTAGGTACCCTCTACCACTTTGCACAAACTATCACAGCATTGATCGTCGTTATCGAGATTGCAGACACCGCCTTCCACAACAGCGGGTGAAGTGAAAATTGCTAAAGTTGGACTGACTCTTCAGAATTGTCGCCTTTCATCTCAGATCAGCCGAAAACACCTGGCCAGTGTGCTAGGGCAATGCCGGCTCAATATTCCCACTCACGTGAAAGGGGCATCAACCACGGGCAGCACCATAGACTAGCCTCCCACACCCAAAAGCCGCCTGTTACATATCTCTCGTATCAAGACAGTCGCCCATCTTGCAACTAAACAGCAACTCTCCACACATGTCGACAGCTGTCAAACCTGAGACGCGCAAAAGAAATTCCACTGAGATCTGCATCCTGTCATCAGCGGTTGTTGCCCAACACCACGGTACGCACAGAGCACTCGATAAAACTCCGCAGACGATCTCCCTGGCAATAATTATGACCGTATCCAATCCGCGTCTCACTCACCGCCACAGATACCCGGGCGCAAATTTGGCGACAAGAGGCTGACCACTTCCGTGCGGCGTTGTGCCTGGCGTGAGCGACCTTGTGCACCAAGTCATGTCGCGCTCTGTTTCATGACTTTGAAACGCTAAATGCCATTGAGAAGTTTGCCATGAGCAGAGTCCACACATTAATTAATATCTTACAAGCCACCATCTCTATGGCTTTGACACGTGGATAGCCCAATTGAACAATCAATCGAGACATGGCAAAGGGTCTTGAGGATCGAAAATAATGTGGATCTCTGTCCCTGACTACTCTCGCTTCTCTCTGGAGCGCGGAGCTTGTGGCTACTCGAAGACTCCCGGCCGGGATCCACCGCATGAGTCAACGTCAATAGCGTATAGGACTACTTTTACCACGAGCAAGCCATACAACACTTGTTGAGGTTGTGGTTTTCTTCCACATTTCGCACCACGTGTCAGGTATGGTGTAAGTATCTGCAGCACTACATCAAGACGACTCCATTACCCTAGTCTGGTAATCTTCCCCGCCCTGCTGGGGTGCACTTCGTTGAGTCAAGGAAACATGGGGCCGTCTTTTGTCTGCACGATCGATGCAACACGCCTACCAGTCGAGATAAGTCAACCATGCACCGTGTAAAATCGATGACAAAGCCAATACCAACACCACAGGCGGTCTGCAAAGTAACAGCAGTCAAAATAAGCTCATAAGCTCAGAGCAATGGCGCTCGACTGCCGCTGCAGGGCGGGGAAGGAGCGCGATGCGCGTTGGTGGAGACGGCACCCACGATATCTGCCTTCCCCATTTGGCTGGATGCACTTTACGTGTCTATCCTCACGACGTCATCGCTTTAGCCTTGCGGGACAATTCTTACACCTCACCGCACTTGGACAGTCTAGCCAAGATACACCATATCCAATTGCATAGGGTATCAATTACTACATTTACGGTGCATATCCTACCTTTTACTTTACTCCTTTGGAAAGCTTAGTGAATCTGTTTCTGCTTGCATACTTCTCTGCACATCATCGGCAGCTGCTTTCCACTCTCTTCTTCTGCTGTCCCTTCCGTCAAAACGTACCATGCGCTTGTGTCTTGTGTGGGTATCGCTGTGGACTTTCTCATGATACTGCTTCCTCTTTTGCCTCAGTCCCTTTGCTTCCCGTGCCTTTTCCACACCTTCAAGAACCATCCTCCCCCTCATCTCGTGAGCAACGATGTCCTTTCTGGAGCTACCCGGAACAATGATATCAGCCGCTGACCGTGACCCAAAGTTGATCTTTTTGTAGCGCACGCTCCACGAGCAGAAATCTGGTGCTCCCATGCAGTTGACACTCACGTCGAGCGTTGGAAACCCTACTAGAGTTTCCTTACCTGTTCGAACGTCTTTTCGGAAAACGGCAGGCAGGGTAAAACGTAGGTCGGCTGGTTTCAGTAGATCAAAGGCGGCCATAATGTAGCGGTAGGGACGAACGTCGTCAGGCTCCAGCATCTGACTTTTGTTTTGCTGGGAAGTTGGTAAGTGGCGCATGTCGTCTTTCGAGAAGATGCGCATGATCAGTGTGTCGTATGTAAGACGGTTATTCAGTTGAATCCAGTAACGGCCATCGACCAGTCTTCTTTTCTCTTCTCTTGGCGGCATCCGCGGGGGATAGACGATCTGATTCTGAGTATCTGATATCTCGTGTGCATCGAGGGGTTGCCGCGTGAGCAGCCATTCTCGTGGATGAGGTAAAGATGAATCGATGCCTGCTTCTTGGTGCTCATGCTTGTCAAATGGCGAAGTTTGGTCCCAAAAACGCCACCACAGATTGTAGACGCAGTAGTTCTTCTTTCGCACCCCATTCCAGTGCCCAATCTGCTCGTCTTCCTCCAAGTCCTCAAGTTCGGGATAGATGCGATGAACGGTTGCAGCGAGTGGCCCCAGAGGCGTCTTGGAGCTGGGCGTGACCAATTCTGCCACACGTTCTAGTAGGCAATATGCTGTGTTCTTCGCGTAGGTCTTGTCGGTCTTGTCGGCTTCGGCATAGCCTCGCTGGGGCAGTAGGTCGGAAAAAGGAGGGAATCGGACCACAAGGCAGCCTGTCTGTATGTCGAGCTTTATCAGGCACTTGTCGAAGAGTTCGTTGGCGAGGGCTTTGTGTCGCTTAATGCGCTCTTGCATATGTTGCGAAACATCAACCAGCGACTTGACGCTCAGAGCCTCTGGGAGTTTGTAGTTCTTGTAGATATGCCGTATAGCGTTGCGGGATGTAAGCGTTCTTATCTGGTTCGTTTTGTCCTCTGCCCAAGCCACACCCATCTCTTCACACGTTGCGATAAGTCTTGTCTTCTCAAATGTCAACAGTGGCCGGAAAATATGTATGCCTCCACGCTCGACGGGGAACGGTATGTCTAGCTTGCGATTTGGCTTCTGGTATTCGCCACTGTGGTACACACCATACATGCCCTCGCACTCTGGTATCCACTCTTGATGCTGCATTGCTTGGAGCCCCGACCGCAGTCTGTTATTCGCCAACCTCATCATGACCGTCTCCGCTTGGTCGTCTGCATGATGCGCCACCATGAGACGTGCGATCTTCATGCTTCTACATGCTCGGCCTAGTGCTTGGTAGCGAAGTGCGCGCGCTTCGGTTTCGAATCGCCTCACGTCCTTGAGGTTGAAGCCGTCGGGCCATGTGAGCGGAAGAATGGTGGAGTCCATGTCAACTAGACAGCGTTAGTGTTACATGTGAAAGACCATGTGCTGTATCTCACACTTCAAGCGTAACTGCGATGCAACCCATTCGGCTTCCTCGGTGCTCTCGGGTCTCACTCGGTGATCCACGATGAATCCATGAGCACTGGGTAGCTCAGAGTTCTTTCTTCGGGACTGTGTATACAGCGCGGCAAGTGCCATTGAGTCGACACCCCCACTAATAGCAATACCTATTCCACCTGCGTTCCGTCAGTCAACTATGCTTGCAGGAGACGTAGGTAGCACTTGCCCGAACAATGCTTTTTGGCTACATGATGGCTCTGTTCCTCCTTCAAGACACCGTCTCGCATAGCCAGCATGAACTCATCGTTGCCAATTGGCAAGCTTGTTGTTGAATTTGTTCGTCGGAATATCCTAGCTACATGGCTTCGTCTCGCAGTATGGTAACAATGCCCGCATCTGAGGGCATTGCTTCTCCACATATGAAGCACTCAAGGCTGATGCAC